AGCACGTACGTCATGACCTCGTCTCATAGATCTGGTCACGACCAGCACGTACGTCATGTCCTTGGCTCATAGATCTGGTCACGACCAGCACGTACGTCATGACCTCGTCTCATAGATCTGGTCACGACCAGCACGTACGTCATGTCCTTGGCTCACATTCCTGGAAGTCTGCATTCCTAAACAATTGCAAAAAAGAAATCAATTTCCTCTGAATATGATTTGGAGACGGAAACTATTCACTAATATTGTCCGCCATTCTTGAGACTGAGAAGACTGCGCCAGCTCCACACAGAGCCCAGGCAAATAACACTTATTAATTTATTTATTTTAATTAAAGATTGTACATTTGGTTTATGAGAGTACAAACAATAAATGTTAAATGTTATATAACTTATTGACCGATAGCACCATAAAGGTTTTTGAAGAAATGCTTTGATGAGAGAGTGCAACATCTGCTCAACCCTGAATCCATTATGAGTCCTATAATGGATTCAGAGCAGGGCTCTTTCACCTCTCATAATTGCTAGTCCACTATCACAGTGTCTTAAATGCTATGGAAAACAGAACGCCGATGTAATATTCACGAGGTTCGTGAAGACATTGGACAAATGTGAGCGTGGAGTAACTGTACACATGGTGAGCACAGAGGGAATTACTGGTGAAGTAGGAAGGTGGATCTTAATTTCCCAGCGAACAGAACCCACAGTGAAAAACTTAATTCCCCAGGGTACTGTGCTTGCTCCGTTATTTTTTCCCAATTTATACCGGACATTAGGGCACAAACTATAGTACCATATCATCCTTTGCAGATGGCAACAGGGTTTGTACGAGAGTAGACAATATAGAGGAGAAAATGAACCTCAAAACTAATGTAATCCCGGTTTTTCAATGAACCACTGAAAGAAACATGATGTTCATTCGAGGTAAGCTCCATCTCCTGTGCTATAGCATAAAAAGAAAATATAATAACGGAAACCACATACAAGTAAGTCATATCACTGACGAAAGAAAGATAGAGCAATTAAGAAGTTTATGGGTGAAAAACACAATATATTAGTTGTCACAACTGCAGGCAAGGGATGCCTAGGGAAGGGAACTATCAAGGGAAAGAGCCAAGCTATTACGATTATATAGCATTTGGAAGGGATCAGAGTAAGGATTAGGGATGGGACGGGGGAAGGAATGGTGCCCAAGGACTTGGATGGTCGGGCATTGAACGCCGACCTGCATGAAGCGAGACCGTCGCTCTACCGTCCAGCCCAAGTGTTTGGAAGGGTTGCCAAGCCAATGATGTTTTTTTGTCAAGAAACTATTGTTCTCTAGCGTGCAATATTGTCACAAACTAACTGACTCATTCTGAGGAATTTGTAACATGAAGAACGTTCAATGAACTCTTACTGACCGAATTCTTGTGGTCAGTAAGAGATCTGGTGTACACCTACCACACCAATTATGGTGTTTTGTAATACAAATGTTAACTGATGATGAAACTCTCAGGACAATAGGGGGCCTGACAGCTGAGTGGACAGCGTTTGGAATTCGTAGTCCTAAGGTTCCGGGTTGCAAACCCGGCGGAGGTGGAAACAAATGGGCAGTTTCTTTCACCCTGATGCCTCTGTTCGCCTAGCAGTAAATAGGTACCTGGGAGTTAGACAGCTGCTACGGGCTGCTTCCTTGGGGTTTGTAACAAAAAAGGAGGCCTGGTCGAGGACCGGGCCGCAGGGACGCTAAGCCCCGAAATCATCTCAAGATAACGATGTTCGCTGAAGCAGGAATACTAGCACATGGGTTGTACTTCACAGTAAACTTGTAAGGATGCATATAATGATCCATCTCTCTCAATGGGTTGTGGTAGTTGTGACTTTGAATCATTCAAGATGGTTGCCAACGTCTTTAACTTGGTGGTGAACAAGCAGGGACACATTTAAGTGTTTACAATCAACTCTCAAGAACAAGAGCACCCGACTCCCACCTGACTGTACTGTTACTTACTGTGAGAAGCAGCACTTCCCAGGACTCTTACCGTCACCCCTCACCACCCAACTTCCCAGGACTCTTACAGTCACCCCTCACCACCAACTTCCCAGGACTCTTATAGTCACACCTCACCACCCAACTTCCCAGGACTCTTACAGTCACCCCTCACCACCAACTTCCCAGGACTCTTACAGTCACACCTCACCACCCAACTTCCCAGGACTCTTACAGTCACCCCTCACCCCCCAACTTCCCAGGACTCTTACAGTCACCCCTCACCCCCCAACTTCCCAGGACTCTTACAGTCACCCCTCACCACCAACTTCCCAGGACTCTTACAGTCACCCCTCACCCCCCAACTTCCCAGGACTCTTACAGTCACACCTCACCCCCCAACTTCCCAGGACTCTTACAGTCACCCCTCACCACCAACTTCCCAGGACTCTTACAGTCACCCCTCACCCCCCAACTTCCCACGACTCTTACAGTCACCCCTCACCACCAACTTCCCATGACTCTTACAGTCACACCTCACCCCCCAACTTCCCACGACTCTTACAGTCACACCTCACCCCCCAACTTCCCAGGACTCTTACAGTCACCCCTCACCCCCCAACTTCCCAGGACTCTTACAGTCACACCTCACCACCAACTTCCCAGGACTCTTACAGTCACCCCTCACCACCAACTTCCCATGACTCTTACAGTCACACCTCACCCCCCAACTTCCCAGGACTCTTACAGTCACCCCTCACCACCCAACTTCCCAGGACTCTTACAGTCACCCCTCACCACCCAACTTCCCAGGACTCTTACAGTCACCCCTCACCACCCAACTTCCCAGGACTCTTACAGTCACACCTCACCACCAACTTCCCAGGACTCTTACAGTCACCCCTCACCACCAACTTCCCATGACTCTTACAGTCACACCTCACCCCCCAACTTCCCAGGACTCTTACAGTCACCCCTCACCACCCAACTTCCCAGGACTCTTACAGTCACCCCTCACCACCCAACTTCCCAGGACTCTTACAGTCACCCCTCACCACCCAACTTCCCAGGACTCTTACAGTCACCCCTCACCACCCAACTTCCCAGGACTCTTACAGTCACCCCTCACCACCCAACTTCCCAGGACTCTTACAGTCACCCCTCACCACCAACTTCCCAGGACTCTTACAGTCACCCCTCACCCCCCAACTTCCCAGGACTCTTACAGTCACACCTCACCCCCCAACTTCTCATGCAGATATAAACCAACTTCTAGAGATCATCAGAACAAGCCTCGAGTGAGCGACCATCTCCAATGAATATTAACTGATAAAACAATTATAAAATAAATCCAAATATTTACATTTCCTTCACCGGACTCTACACGTGTTACAGAAAAAAATATGTTGATAAATATTGTATGAAAGCAAACAATATTGTTTCAAAGGGGAAATCTCTGGAAGAAAACGAATATTTAATGTTTTTATATGTTCACATACGCCTTTCTTCAACACCCCCTCCCCCCCCCGATTATCTCATGCTGCATACCAATCTTTCCCTCCCTCCATCGCTTCTAGTTATCCCTTCCCCTCGTTATCTCTCCCTCCTTATCCTTACCGTTATCGTTCTCGCGTTCTCTCTCTTCTTCCCTCCCCTCCTGTTCTCTCCTTTCATCCTTCCCGTTCTTTTTCCCGTTATCCCTTCCGTTCTCTCTCCCAGTGGGCAAACATGCTAGAGTAAGGTTTCTTCGACGTTTAATCAACGTTATTGAAGTTGATAATCTATGATAAATCCGTTGAAAACAGTGTAAATACAGTCATATCAAAATTTCTTACTTCACAGGTGTCGATGGTTGTCGTAATAGGACCCAAGCCTGCTTAAGGGGAGGCATGGGAATTGCCGTGGTCTTCCTATGACATGTCCCCATACAATCACACTTTCCCATGGAAAGTGGTGTGTCAACTAAGACAAACTCTCAGATATTCTTGTTTATATATGAGGATTAATGACCTCTCAAGCACAGTGCATATATTGATGGCTATGTTCATACATCAATAGGCCGCTCTGCAGGACGATGTAGAATACACGAAGGGAATAGATGGACATCAGACTCAATAATTGTCTTACCTTACACATGCAGAATTTGTTGCACTACAATTTACAACCAACTCACTGAAAAATACTGGCGGAGTAGATTTCCTGTGATTCAAAGTCAGCTCTTTAACAATCTGGCTTCTTCCATGCATTTAAAATTTTGAGTTGGAATCTAATTCCACTCCTTCCTTTTCTTGAAGATCACAGCTCAGTGTCCGGGTTCTCTTTCTCTGTGTGTCACCAGGCATACACAGGTTAGTGTAGAGTACTGTACATCACCAGGTATACACAGGTTAGTGTAGAGTACTGTACATCACCAGGTATACACCAGTTAGTGTACAGTACTGTACATCACCAGGTATACACCAGTTAGTGTACAGTACTGTGCATCACCAGGTATACACCGGTTAGTGTACAGTACTGTACATCACCAGGTATACACCAGTTAGTGTACAGTACTGTGCATCACCAGGTATACACCGGTTAGTGTACAGTACTGTGCATCACCAGGTATACACCAGTTAGTGTACAGTACTGTGCATCACCAGGTATACACCGGTTAGTGTACAGTACTGTGCATCACCAGGTATACACTGGTTAGTGTACAGTACTGTGCATCACCAGGTATACACCGGTTAGTGTACAGTACTGTGCATCACCAGGTATACACTGGTTAGTGTACAGTACTGTGCACCACTAGGTATACACAGGTTAGTGTACAGTACTGTGCATCACCAGGTATACACCGGTTAGTGTACACAACTGTGCATTACATTTTATCTATATAAAATATTCTTTACGATACAACACTCAATATTTTCATGTAATTAATATCATACTTCTCCTAAATATGTCAGTTTATTGGAATATTCGTGTACGACCACTGTTTGAGGCTCCCTTGACCGCGCACGTGTTAACTTTGGACGTGACAGGTGATGACTGGTGGCACCTCACCAACACAGGTGTTTACTGGTGGCACCTCGCCAACACAGGTGTTGAGTGGTGGCACCTCACCAACACAGGTGTTTACTGGTGGCACCTCACCAACACAGGTGTTTACTGGTGGCACCTCGCCAACACAGGTGTTGAGTGGTGGCACCTCACCAACACAGGTGTTTACTGGTGGCACCTCACCAACACAGGTGTTTACTGGTGGCACCTCACCAACACAGGTGTTTACTGGTGGCACCTCACCAACACAGGTGTTTACTGGTGGCACCTCACCAACACAGGTGTTGACTGGTAACACCTCGCCAACACAGGTGTTGAATGGTGGCACCTCGCCAACACAGGTGTTGAATGGTGGCACCTCACCAACACAGGTGTTGACTGGTAACACCTCGCCAACACAGGTGTTGAATGGTGGCACCTCGCCAACACAGGTGTTGAGTGGTGGCACCTCGCCAACACAGGTGTTGAGTGGTGGCACCTCGCCAACACAGGTGTTGACTGGTGGCACCTCGCCAACACAGGTGTTGAATGGTGGCACCTCGCCAACACAGGTGTTGAATGGTGGCACCTCACCAACACAGGTGTTGAGTGGTAACACCTCACCAACACAGGTGTTGAGTGGTAACACCTCACCAACACAGGTGTTGAGTGGTAACACCTCGCCAACACAGGTGTTGAGTGGTGGCACCTCACCAACACAGGTGTTGAGTGGTACCACCTCGCCAACACAGAATGAATGGCGGGTTTTTGACCTCGGGCGGCCACGCGTGTTGGCACAAGCGGAATATTCTGGTGTCAAGCGAGCTGACGCCTCAAGGCCGAGTTGACGTAGCCTAAACTACTCTATCATTGTGGATTGTACTTCCTGTTCTCAATAAACTTACTTGAACTTGAACACGGCTGAGGAGAGACGCTGCTCTTATATCTCCATTACTTCTTGTAAAAGAATTTAATTACTAAGAAATATATTATTTACTACAATAAATTGATATAATTATTACGCAGAGAAATCATTGTTTAAATCATAAACACACAACGTAACAGTCCCTACATCTTGTTGTAAAGTTTTTATGACGGGTTAGAAAGGTGTTACAACCTTATATATTGGTTGTAACAACTTATTAGGTGTTACAACCTTATATATTGGTTGTAACAACTTGTTAGGTGTTACAACCTTATATATTGGTTGTAACAACTTGTTAGGTGTTACAACCTTATATATTGGTTGTAACAACTTGTTAGGTGTTACAACCTTATATATTGGTTGTAACAACTTGTTAGGTGTTACAACTTGTTCGAACCTTTGTAGCAACGTTGTCGTTCGTCGTGTGTTTGGCGGCTTTATTTTTATAAAATAATGTTTGTGTGGTCGAGTGTCCGGGGGGGGGGGGGAGGTCAGATGCTTGTGGCCAGTCTCACTCAACTTTGCAGGGTGACGCGTCACGGACGGCGGAGTTGGCTCCAGTTCGGTCATTTAGGGTGATTTTCATGGTGATCTTACTGGTGATCTATATGGTGATTTTACTGGTGATCTTTATGGTGATCTTACTGGTGATCTTTATGGTGATCTTACTGGTGATCTATATGGTGATTTTACTGGTGATCTTTATGGTGATCTTACTGGTGATCTTTATGGTGATCTTATTGGTGGTCTTACTGGTGATCTTACTGGTGATCTTACTGGTGATCTTTATGGTGATCTTTATGGTGATCTTACTGGTGATCTTTATGGTGATCTTACTGGTGATCTTTATGGTGATCTTACTGGTGATCTTTATGGTGATTTTACTGGTGATCTTTATGGTGATCTTACTGGTGATCTTACTGGTGATCTCTATGGTGATCTTATTGGTGATCTTTATGGGTGATCTTACTGGTGATCTTTATAGTGATCTTTATGGTGATCTTACTGGTGATCTTTATAGTGATCTTACTAGTGATCTTTATGGTGATCTTACTGGTGATCTTTATGGTGATCTTACTGGTGATCTTTATGGTGATCTTACTGGTGATCTTCATGGTGATCTTGTAACAAGAGAGCAGTACATAGTGCAACATGATCATAACAGCATGAACAAGCCACGTGGAGGATGAACAAACCACAGGCGCCAGTCAGGCGGCAGCAGACAATGTAAAAGTTACACCTCTGTACAAGTTAGCCATAGAGTCAGGTCAACGGTCATCGAATCACGAAGAGGTCAGAGTTGATGCCGTCATGATAATCTTCAGGGATTAACCCCTAAACAGCAAATGTAAAACCCTCATGTTCAGCTGAGGAGCAGCAGATCATGGGACAGTCAGTAGAGTGGGCGCAGCCCAGTAGGGAGGTGTGTGTGGACTCGGGGAAGGAACATCATCTCCAGAAAAACTGTGGAACAACATACGAGTAAGTACGGCTCTCTTGTACTAAAGCACCTCATTCAGTACCCTTGGCCTCTAGTAGGGAATATAGTTAGGGAGTGTCTTATTTAATTATTTTAAATAAAGTCATATATTAATTGTTATTAAATGTGTATTAATGGTTCCTTGTCTTAGTGATATTGGGCCTACCGTCCCCTTTGCCCCAGTGACCTAGTGTTCTTAATTATCCAGTACTCCTCCCCCCGTTCGTTTTCCGTGTTGAGGTGTTAGTATTGGGTGTGTCCCGCCTTATTCTTGTGTACTCTATAGTTCCCAAGTGGTCAGGATTATTCGAGTGTCAGGCCAGGATCCTTGTACCGTTCAATTGTCCCCTACACCTGTCCTGATAGGTTATTCCATCTGCAAGACCTACGAATCTCACTCCGGTCCCCTGTCCGGTAACTCAGGGTGGTGGCAGCGTCACTCGGTAACTCATACGATAGGCTGTGACTACGATTATCTCTATCTTTCTGTCTCACTCTCTCTCACTAGTGTCTCACTCTCCCTCGCCCTCACTCGCTCTCGTTCTCCCTCCCTTGCTCTCGTTCTCGCTCTGCCCCACTCTTCCTCTCTCTCTCGCTCTCGCTCTGCCTCACTCTTCCTCTCTCTCTCTCTCTCTCTCTCTCTCTCTCTCTCTCTCTCTCTCTCTCTCTCTCTCTCTCTCTCTCTCTCTTCTGTTTACTGGTTTACGTCTTCGTATGACGCCCCGAGTGTTAACATCTTACATGATCGATAGCATCTGTTATTACCATAAAAAGAGCGGAGATTGCTCGGTTAGCTCAGTGGTAGTAGCGGGTGCGCGGTTGAGATAGATACAAGGCGAGATATTACAATGTGGGTTATTACAATCTTTATTGTGATCTTACCTGTGATCTTACTGGTGATCTTCATGGTGATCTTACTGGTGATTTTTATGGTGATCTTACCTGTGATCTTACTGGTGATCTTCATGGTGATCTTACTGGTGATCTTTATGGTGATCTTACTGGTGATCTTCATGGTGATCTTATTGGTGATCTTTATGGTGATCTTTATGGTGATCTTTATGGTGATCTTACCTGTGATCTTCATGGTGATCTTACTGGTGATCTTACTGGTGATCTTACTGGTGATCTTACTGGTGATCTTCATGGTGATCTTTATGGGGACCTCGCTCTCATAGCGGCCCATCCCAGAGGAGTTTTATGTTCTTAGTTCTCAATGTCTTGCTCATTCTGGGTGAAGATCGGGGCCCAGTAAATTACTTGTATCTCTTCTCCTGTTCATTGTGGCATCTGGTCCATGTAGTGCTAAGAAGGTTTTTCTATAACTAAAACTACTTTTACACCCCAATTTTTGTTAAAATACTTGTGGTTTTCAAGATCAACATTCTATGTATAATTTAGAGAGAGAGTGTATTCACCTAGTTGTATTCACCTAGTTGTGTTTGCGGGTGATGAGCTCTGCTCTTTCGGCCCGCCTCTCAACTGTCAATCAACAATTGTTACTAACTACTAATTTTCGTTTCACACACACACACACACACACACACACACACACACACACACACCTCGGGGCCTCGTAGCCTGGTGGATAGCGCGCAGGACTCGTAATTCTGTGGCGCGGGTTCGATTCCCGCACGAGCCAGAAAGAAATGGGCAAAGTTTCTTTCACCCTAAGTGCCCCTGTTACCTAGCAGTAAATAGGTACCTGGGAGTTAGTCAGCTGTCACAGGCTGCTTCCTGGGGGGTGTGTGTGTGTGTGTGGTGTGGGAAAAAAAAAAAAAAAAGTAGTTAGTAAACAGTTGATTGACAGTTGAGAGGCGGGTCGAAAAAGCAAAGCTCAACCCCTGCAAACACAACTAGGTGAATACAACTAGGTGAATAGACACACAGGAAGCAGCATGTAGCAGCTGGCTAATTCCCAGGTACCTATTTACTGCTAGGTAACAGGGGCATCAGGATGAAAGAAACTCTGACCACTTTTGTTTCTCGCCGGCGCCGGAAATAGAACCCATCGTGCTATCCATACAGCCACCGACGCCAGTGTGTGTGTACTCACCTATTTGTTCTCACCTATTTGTGCATGCGGGGGTTGAGCTCTGGCTCTTTGGTCCCGCCTCTCAACTGTCGATCAATTGGTGTTCAGGGTCCTGAGCCTACTGGGCTCTATCATATCTACATTTGAAACTGTGTATGGAGTCTGCCTCCACCACATCACTTCCTAATACATTCCATTTGTCAACTACTTTGACACTAACAAAGTTCTTTCTAATATCTCTGTGGCTCATTTGGGCACTCAATTTCCACCTGTGTCCCCTAGTGCGTGTGCCCCTTGTGTTAAATTGCCTGTCTTTATCTACCCAATCAATTCCTCTGAGAATCTTGTGAGTGGTGATCATGTCCCCCCTACCTCTTTTGTCTTCCAGGGATGTGAGGTTTAACTCCCATAGTCTCTCCTCGTAGCTCATACCTCTAAGCCTGGGTACTAGTCTGGTGGCAAACCTTTGAACCTTCTCCAGTTTAGTCTCTTGCTTGACTAGATATGGACTCCATGCTGGAGCTGCATACTCCAAGATTGGTCTGACATATGTGATATACAAAGTTCTTAATGATTCCTTACTAGTGATCTTAAAAAATTCCTTACTAGTGATCACGTTTATAAAAAACCGTTCTTATGTTCGCCAACCTGGCGTATGCCGCTGATGTTATCCTCTTGGTATGGGCTTCAGGGGACAGGTCTGGCGTGATATCAACCCCCAAGTCTTTCTCTCTCTCCCCGACTCTTGAAGAATTTAATCTCCCAAATGATACCTTGTATCTGGTCTCCTGCTCCCTACACCTATCTTCATTACATTACATCTGCTTGGGTTAAACTCCAACAACCACTTGTTCGACCATTCCTTCAGTGTGTCTAGGTTTTCTTGAAGCCTACAGCAGTCCTCCTCTGTCTTAATTCTTCTCATAATTTTGGCGTCGTCAGCAAACATTGTGAGGAATGAGTCTATACCCTCCGGGAGATCATTTACGTATATCAGAAACAGGATTGGACCGAATACAGAGCCCTGTGGGACTCCACTGGTGACTTGACGCCAATCTGAGGTCTCACCCCTCACTGTAACTCTCTGCTTCTTATTGCTTAGGTACTCCCTTATCCGCTGGAGGACTTTTCCAGTTACTCCTGCCTGTCTCTCCAGCTTATGTACCAGCCTCTTATGCGGTACTGTGTCAAAGCCTTTCCAACAGTCCAAGAAAATGCAGTTCACCCAGCCTTCTCTTTCTTGCTTAATCTTTGTTACCTGGTCGTAGAACTCTTATTAAGACTGTAAGGCAAGATTTACCCTTCCTGAACCCATGTTGGCGATTTGTCACAAAGTCCCTTCTCTCCAGATGTTTTGCTAGTTTTTTTTCTCACGATCTTCTCCATCACCATGCATGGTATACAAGTC